ATAGCAGTGTACAGGAACCGACCTTAACCCGTTGTTTGTTGCTCGTAGACTGGACCCATCTGACATCTTTGGTATTCGAGATATCCGAGGCTCTTCCTAAACATCATTGAAAGCATAAAATTATTCTGTACACTTCAACCAGCATAGCAACAGCCAGTACCTGGTGAATGTTAGTGTCGGCTGGTTTGTACCTTGTGCTGGGAGGGCGTAACTTTGAAGGCTTCGGAATGCCAGTGTTAGGCTTCAATTTCGTGTTAGAGGGAGGAAGGGATGTAGGTGAAACATTTTCAAGATCTGTCACAAGATCTGCGGGATTTGTGGGTTTGGCAGACGTAGGAGAAGCAGCTGTAGGAGATGAGACTTTCGAGGCAGACTCGTTTACCTGCTCCTGAAGCGCGAGGTTTGAGCAGAAGGGATTAAGCACAGGCGCATGCAGAACTAAGCGTTGGAAGGAATGTGCAGTAGAGGCGTGATGGCCTAGTAGTGCGCCTATGTCACGAAAACTTCCAAATTCCTCACCTTTTCCATCGATGTCAACACATATTTGGGGATTCTGCTCGAAGAGCGTGAAGTCGGCTGTTCCGAGGAAGCATCAGAGAATGAGCAAAATTTCTCTTCCATGGGGGAAGAGCTCTGTAAATGTGAAGTGTCATGGCCAGAACCCATTTAATACCAGTTCTTAAAAAAACCTTCTCTTTCACCGCTGAGATCGGAATCATTGTGATATGCTGAGAAGGTAGTGCTGTAGTAGGCAGTGGTTGGGGTTGAGCCGGTGTAGTGGGCGCAAGTCTAAAATTATATAATTTTTATTTTTAGGTATGGTTCAACGGTTGGATACAGTAACAGTTGACTGACTTGTTGTCGATGGAGAAGGGATTCGTGTAAAGCGAAGGTTGAGTAATTCGTGATGCTGCTACTGGAGTCTAAAAACGTTGTTGTATGGTTTTATGTCCTATTAAGGTCTGAGGTTTACATCTATGCCAAAGACACTCCGTTTATCAAATTAAATTCCCTCGATTAATGTAGCACTAAATTTTGAAATGAAAAATAGTTCAAGTGATGCTATGCCCTGCACTAACCGTAACCACCGGAGTTGGAGGAGCTGTTACGATCGTTGCTGCTTTAGGATGGTTTAATTCATCTCCCACTGTAAGATGGCTGACTAACTGTTCTGCCACCGCAACGGATGAGCTCCGAGGCTTTGTTGTAACAGGCTTAAGAAAATGTGATGAAAATTTTACATCCTCTGCAA